AGCCGTTATTTTCTGTATTTCTCTGTACCTATTATTTTTAAACAAATATGGGGTCATACAATATGTACCATTCTTTGCATTGTTTTTACTTAGTTAAATATACTCTAGAGAAATTCATTTCCCAGAAATAATTTTGTGCAAGGATTAAAAACAAAAGCACAGAAGATAATTTCTAGTGACTTGGCAACCAGGGCTGATGAGAGATCCAGACTGGGAGCGAGGCTGTTTCTAGTGTTGCTTGGAGGCTGGAACCCATCACTGCTCCCCTGCCTCTGATCCCACCGAAGGTAAACACACACACACACACACACACACACACACACGGCAAGAATGAACACACATGACAAGAACAAACACACACATACACACTGGGACAGATCACAGCTCCCCTGCCTCTGATCCTGCTGAAGGTAAACACACACACACACACACACACACACAGCAAGAACGAACACACACATACACACACACACACACACACAGAGCAAGAACGAACACACACATACACACTGGGACAGATCACAGCTCCCCTGCCTCTGATCCCGCTGAAGGTACACACACACACACATACACACTGGGACAGATCACAGCTCCCCTGCCTCTGATCCCGCTGAAGGTACACACACACACACACACACACACACACACACGGCAAGAATGAACACACACATACACACTGGGACAGATCACAGCTCCCCTGCCTCTGATCCCGCTGAAGGTACACACACACACACATACACACTGGGACAGATCACAGCTCCCCTGCCTCTGATCCCCCTGAAGGTACACACACACACACACACACACACGGCAAGAATGAACACACATATACACACTGGGACAGATCACAGCTCCCCTGCCTCTGATCCCGCTGAAGGTAAACACACACACACACACACACACACACGGCAAGAATGAACATACATGACAAGAACGAACACACATACACACACTGGAACTGATCACAGCTCCCCTGCCTCTGATCCCGCTGAAGGTAAACACACACACACACACACTGTTTGTTTTACTGAAGATACACTGTCTTTTAGATGCAGTTTTTCATTCTAGAATTCATCAAAGGAGAAGATGCTGTGTGAGGCCAATGCTTCTCAACCCAGGCTGCTCACAAGAATTACCCACAGAGCAACTAAAACTATCTCTAGACGGGGGACTCTTGTTTTCATTGCCTTTATCAGGGCAGTGATTGAATGGGTGGCATACTTCTGTTTTGGAGAGAGTGTTGTTTAACGTTTTGTTTTGGGTTTTGTTGAGCACCAACGGAAGCCTCCCCCTGGCTTCCTGCTTTCCTGGTTGCTCAGTTGCTGGAGCGCAGGTTAGGCCGGGGTGTGATTGGGAAGGGCAGACGGGGCCTCTGGGTTGCTCCTGTGAGTTGTGCAGGGCACACAGGTTGAGAAAAGGTGGTCACCCTGCTCTCCTGGTCTCAGCACCTCTTCCTGCTCTGGGGCTCTGGGGCATCTGTCTTTACTCTTAGAGCCTGCAGTTAGTTCTCCAGGTGTCCTGCATTTGCAGAAGTGAGTCAGGCCTTAGACAGACTTGTTTATCTGGAGTAGCTCCAGGTCTTCAGAGGCCCTCCCTGTTCACTGATGGGGTGGTTGGTATGGATCAGGTAATTTAAAATAGTAGTAACAACATGCAACCTAAATTAATTGTAGATATCCTGAGCAGCAGTCAGTTTTTTTTTTTCTGTGATAAAGAGTATGATTTAAAAAAAAGAAAGAAATTTGAGTTTGGGCAGTTTGTGCTCAGTCTGCTTGAGGGATAATCCTGGACTGATCTTTACAGGACTGTTTGAGATTCTGCCTTTTGGTTATATCATTCTTTGATATCTGGGGATTTTATAAGACATTAGACTTAAAAATTTACTTTTCCTAATTACTGAGTAAATTTATTGTTGAGGTCAATAGCTATTTAGTCAGTAGGCAGACAACATTACTTAATAATGTCATATAATTCCTGTTCATAGTGTTACATACAGTTGAGAAATTTCTCACCCCACCTTCATGACAAGGACAACGAATAAAATTGCCTTTGGGGGTTCGCTCGTAAGAAGCGGGCTTGGGGACCAAGGCAAAGGACTGATGCCCGACTCCTCTTATTAAGAGCAGGTGCCTGCTACAGAGCCTTTCCTCATCTCAAAGCTAGCTTGATGAAAATCTCCCCACCCCCTATTTTTGTTCTCTTATATTCTCACTTTGTTAGATTCACTCTGAAAAGTTATATCTTAAAATACAAATATCATCTGGGCAAGTTAAGTGTTTTTATCTTTAATGCATTTATTATAAATTGAAGCTATTTGTTTGGGAGTGACAGCATGAAAGCATTGTTTCCCTGAAAGCTGTGAGAGAATCCTCTGAAAGGCAAGCTTTGTCTGTTTTTCCTTAATCATGAGCGTCTCTCTCTTCTGCCATATAGAAGCATGTGTGGTACTTTAACACAGAGATTTATCAGATTTCTCTTCCTTGAAATTATCAGTCCATTCTAAGTGTCAATTCTTAAGAATTTGGCGGGGTGAAACTGATTTTTTTTTTTTAAATCTGTTTTCTATATGGCCTCCATTCTAAAAATTAAACCTTTAATTTTCAGATAATTGTAGATTCCCATGTAGTTATGAGAAATAATACAGAGAGAACCCAAGTGCCCTTTACCCCAGTTGAAAAGTGAAAGTTGCTCAGTCGAGTCAGACTGTTTGCGACCCTGTGGACTATACAGTCCATGGAATTCTCCAGGCCAGAATACTAGAGTGGGTAGCCATTCCCTTCTCCAGGGAATCTTCCCAACCCAGGGATCAAGTCCAGGCCTCCCGCATTGCAGGCGGATTCTTTACCAGCTGAGCCACAGGGGAAGCCGAAGAATACTGGAGTGAGTAGCTTGTCTCTTCTCCAGTGAATCTTCCCAACCCAGAAATTGAACTGGGGTCACCTGCGTTGCATGCGGATTCTTTACCAACTGAGCTATACCCCAGTTACCCAACAGGAACATCTTGGAAAAACCACTGTATAATACCAAAACAAGGATGTTGACCTTGATACAATCCACCAACCTTTTCCAGATTTCACAGGTGTTACTTGTACGCCTGCACTCTTGTGTGTTTGTATTTAGCTCCTTACAGGTTTATCACTTGTATAGGTGTATACCACCGCAGTCAGATGCAGAACAGCTCCATGGCTGCAAAGGCGCCTGTGTTTGTGCCATTTTAAGACGAGAAGTCCCCCATTTCCTCTCCCCAAATCCCTGACACCCACCACCCTGTTTTTTGTTTCTGTTGGCTTGACTACTTTAGATACCTCATAGAAGTGGGTTTTACCAGTATTTGTCCTTCTGTGACTGGTTTATTTTACTTAGCATAATGTCCAGAAGATTCATACGTGCTGTAGCATGTGAGGAATTTTCTCCCAATGGGTAATATTCCATTGTATATATAAACCTCATTGTTTATTAATTCATCCATCGATGAACACTTGAGTTGCTTCCACCTTTTGGCAGTGGAGAATAATGTTATTGTAAACATGGCTGTGTAACTCTCTCTTCATGATCCTGCTTTAATTCTTTTGCATATATACCCAGAAGGGGAATTACTGGATCAAACGGTCATTTTTTTTTAATTTTGGAGGAACTACCACACTGTTTTCCATAACTGATGCCCTGTTTTACATTCCCATCAGCAGTGTATATCTGTACTCCAGTGATGTTTGAGTAAATAAGTTTTAATTAATCCATTTTTGTTCTCTTTATTCATGACTATTTTATTGCCCTTCTTTTTCACTTGATAGAGAGTGAACAAATAGCACATAGCAGATGAGATATTTTGCACTACAGAATGTTTGCATACCAAGGCTGATCCTCAAGGTGACATCTAAATATTATGGAGTCAGTTCTTTCAGCTATAAATAACAGAAACTTTACATGGGCCAATTAAAAAGGATTTCATTACCAGGCGATTTTATCATGTTTAATCTAAGGGTATTAACATGGCAGGGCTGTATGTAGCACTGAAATAAGGAATTTGGTTGTTCCTTGCCTTTGATGCTTCTGTTTATCTTTCATCCTGTTATCATGGATTTCATCACATGATGATGAAATGACTGTTCACAAAGCCTGAGCCCTTCAGGTTCAGCCATCCAAAGACTGAGGTGCTCGGTTTTGGTCCCAGTTCAGAGTCCCCAGGGGAAGGGGCTGATGGACCCAGTTTGTACCAGTGGCCTGTGCAGATGTTCCTCCCCACAGACACGGTCAGGGGGATGGAGTCAGCGCGAGGACAGGCAGCCTCTGCACGAACCACGTGCACTGATGTGGGGGTGGGGGGCAGGTGGCCAGAAAGAAAGGGAGTGAGTGCTCGAGAGAGACCGAAGGGCATGCCCATCGGGTGTCTGTAGCCGAGACTTCAGTGAAAGCAGCTGAGACTACATTGATGAGTTCTGGGTGAGGACTAGTATATTACCTGAGACAAACAACTTAAAAAATTCTGACTGGTTCTTTAGTATACAAAGTCGAGAGCCAAGAGGGAAAGGACCTGAAATTCTTAAAATCGTAAAAGACAAAAATCATTGACTCACTTCTGGAATTATTTGAATTAAGCAGTATTTTTTTTTTTTAAGGTCTGGACACTTAGTGTAGAAAATTATATATCAGACAGCAGTTAATTAACTTACATAATTTATTCCAGGAGATTTGCAAACAAGAGGTTGTATCAGAGAAAATAATAGAGCATAGCTGTGTGATGGGGACATTTAGAGGAAATTGGAGTGTGGCTTTGATCTGGTGAAGTCATGGAGGGCTTGATTTCCTTATCAAGCTGTAGTAATGATGATAATTGTTAAAACTTATTTAGTACTACTATGTATCAGGTATTGTACTGAGCATGTTTGTATCTGTGATCTTTTTTAACCTTCATCCAGATCATGGGTGCTCACACTTCGTTACACTGGATTTTTCCAAGACTTTTTCCAGCACAGTTTTCAACGCCTTGCTTTCCCTTTCAGAGATGTGGTACTGGATCTTCCTCTGGGCCCTCTTCTCCTCTCTGTTCGTCCATGGTGCTGCCGGAGTGCTGATGTTTGTGATGCTACAGAGGCATCGGCAAGGGAGAGTCATCTCCGTCATCGCCGTCAGCATCGGATTTCTGGCTTCCGTGACTGGAGCGATGATCACTAGTAAGTGGATGCTGTTTTAAGAATGTCATTTTATATGCACATACAGTTTGGGGCAAAAGCCCAGGCTTATAGGTTTCATTATAGGGGTATGTGTGTGTGTGTGTGTGTGTGTGTGCGCGCGCATGTGTGGTTGCACAATCATGTCCAACTCTTGGCGACCCTATGAGCTGTAGCCTGCCAGGCTCTTTTGTCCGTGGGATTTTTTTTATAGGTTTTTAGAAGATATTAAATGTAGTTCCTAGTCCTACACAATAGTCCTTGTTACCTATTTTTTCTATAGTACTTTGTTAATTCCAGGTTTCTCTCTCCCCCTGCTTTCCGCTTTGGTGAACATCACTTTGCTTTCTGTGTCTGTGAGTCTGTTTCTGTTTTGTAAATAAAGTTTATTTGTATCATATTTTATCCACATCCAAGTGATGATGTATGATATTTGTCTTTTTCTGTTTGACTTCACTTAGTACATTGATCTCTAGTTCCATCCATGTTACTGCAAACGGCATTATTTCATTCTTTTTTAATTGCTGAATAATATTCCACTGTGTATGTATACCATATCTTTATCCATTCGTCTATCAGTGGACATTTAGGTTGCTTCCATGTCTTGGCTGTTTTAAATAGTGCTGCGATGAACATGGGGGTACATGCATCTTTTTTTAATTAGAGCTTTCTCCAGTTATATAACCAGGAGTAGAATTGCTGAATCATGTGGGGCCTCCCTGGGGGCTCAGATGGTTAAGAATCTGTCTGCAATGTGGGAGACCTGGGTTCTATTCCTGGGTCAGGAAGATCCCCTGGGAAGGGAATGGCAATCCACTCTAGTACTCTTGCCTGGAGAATCCCGTGGACAGAGGAGCCTGGCAGCTACAGTCCATGGCGTTGCAGAGAGTCAGACACTGCTGAGCAGTTAACACACACACACACACACACACACACACAGTAACTATTTTTAGTTGGTAAAGAACCTCTGTACTGTTCTCCAAGGTAGCTGTCCCGGTTTATATTCCCAACAGTGTAGGAGGGTTCCCTTTTCTCCGCACTCTCTCGAGCATTTATTATTTATAGGCTTTGTAATGATGACCATTCTAACTGGTGTGAAGTGATATCTTATTGTAGTTTTGATTTGCATTTCTCTAATAATTAGTGATGTTGAGCATCTTTTCATGTGCCTGTTGGCCATCTGTATGTCATCTTTGGAAAAATATCCATTTAGGTCTTTTGCCCATTTATTGATAGGGTTGTTGGTTTTTTGTTTTTTGTTTTTTTTAATATTGAGCTTTATGAGCAGCTTGTATATTTTGGAAATCGTTAGCAAATATTGGTCCCATCGTTAGCAAATATTTTCTCCTGGTCCATAGGTTGTCTTTTTCATTTTGTTTATGTTTCCTTTGCTATGCAAAAGGCTTTTAAGTTTAATTAGGTGCCATTTGTTTATTTTTTGCTTTTGCTTCCATTTCTCTGGGAGATGGATTGAAAAAAAGATTGCTGCAATTTATTTTAAAGAATGTCCTGCCTATGTTTTCCTCTAGGCATTTTATAGTATCCAGTGTTACATTTAGGTCTTCAATCCATTTTTAGTTTATTTTTGTTTGTGATATTAGAGAAGGTTCTAATTTCATTTTTATAGATGTAGCTTCTCAGTTTTCCCAGAACCACTTATTGAAGAGACTGTCTCTTCTCCATTTTATATTTTTGCCTCCTTTGTCATAGATTAACTGACTATAATCGTGCACTTCCTTCTTAAACACAAGTTGTTATGATATACATCTCCCCTGGCCTACTGGAGATTATTAGCCACTTTACGGTGTCCTCCAGTCATCTGCAGGTTTTCTACTGCACTGCCTCGTGTGTGTGTCCTGCAGGCCCCAGGTTCATGCCCTCTGACCTTCACCTCTTACCGCAGCATTGAGGCCCCAGCTCCAGCCTTAGGTTCTGCTGTGCTAGGTAAGCCAGGACTTTGATGTGTCCTGTTGAGCCTGGAGGGGCCTCAGCCACTTCCTTCACGTGGTTCTGCTCGACACTGGGTGCTCCTGTCTGCTGCTGTGGTCTCATCACCGCCAGGAAACAGTAGCGCTTCTGTTGCTGGTCACTTGGCTTGCTTCCACGAGGCCAGGGCAGCTGTCTGCCACCACTGGGTGTGTGCAAGACCCTCCTTAGCTCAGAGATGAGAGGAAATCTGTTTCTGCCATAGCTCTATGGCCTCCCTCCTCTTGTGCCCACAGTCACCTTTCCCCGGGGTGATCAGCATGCCTTGCCTGAAGACAGAGCCCTGTCCCCGGGGCTCTGGGTCTGTCCTGGGCACAAATAAGAGCCCTAAGTTGTGGGAAGCAGTGAGCAGTCTATTTTCTCTTCCTTTCTTCATTTACCATTCTTGTGTGTCATCTTGTGTTAGGTTTTTTGTTGTTGTTGTTGCTGTATTCACCTGTAACTTTCTCATGTGCTACTTCATGCCCTTTGCCATAGCGTTTAAAACAAGCAGTCAGGTTTAGCTACAGCACCAGGGGTACAGAGTGGAGTAACAGGAAATGCAGCTAGGACAAGCCAGATCCTCAATGATCTTGGAAGGTCAGCCAGAGTTTGGACTTTATTCTGCAGGCCATGAAAAGCAAGTAGATATTTTAGAAAGGGATTGGCAAGGGGCAGAGCAGTTGACTAGGAAAATTTGTTTTGTGGCTGAGTGTAGAATAAATATATGTGAAGGAAGAACCAAAAGGAAACTGTGAGAGAGCAGGGACCTTGCCTGTCTTCATCACTGCTGAATCTCCAGCAATAAAGCAGCACCTGGAATGTAACAGACCCTCAGGAAATACTGGTTGGATAGATGGGTGTAGTGAGGGAGGAAGCACCGAGGACAGGAAGAAGAAAGTGGGGGAGGAGAGAAGGGGGGAAGGGAGATAGAAGAGTTCAGGCTTTAATTTTTGGTCTGAATTTGAGGCTGGATCTGAACTAGCCTGTGGCCGTGATATGGAAAAGAGTTGCTGTAGGGACTGTCACAAAGGGGAGAGTCCAGATTAGTCGTTGCTCGCTGTGGAGACGTACAAGGAGGCCTGAAAAGGGATGGCTCATGGCTTTGCTGTGGCCGCTGCTGTAACCGTGGAACCGTGAGCAGAAGGCACAGCTTGTTCAGAAGCCAAAAATAGTGTGTGTGTTACACGTGCGTTTATTGGTGTAGATCATTGTGAAAGCTTAAAGAGAACATTATTCTACTTCCATTTATCTCTAATGATGGGTGTATATGTTGCTTTCAACTCAGTCAAGAATAAAATAATGATTTTAGAAACTGCAGTGTTATATTTAAAATTCCTTACAAATGTGTCTGGGCTTCCTTGGTGGTTCAAACTGTAAACAATTTGCCTGGAGTGCAGGAGACTTGGATTTGATCCCTGGGTTGGGAAGAGCCCCTGGAGAAGGGAATGGCAGCCCACTCCAGTATTTTTGCCTGGAGAATTCCATGGACAGAAGAGCCCGAGGGCTACAGTCCATGGGGTCACAAAGAGTCGGACATGACTGAGTGACTGTCACAAATATGTCTGACACAATTTCAAGTGAAAACTTGTATCCAGGTTAACAGTAAAACATACCAATTTCTTCCGGCTAATTTTCTGGCCTGCAAACACTTGAATTAAGAAAACTATCCAATGTGAATATTTACCTGCATTTGTTTTCTTAAATGCATTTTGTCAGCACTAGTAGTCACAGCTATATATTCAGTTCAGCAAAATGATGACTGGCTGAATATAGATACATAACTATTATATTTTACTACCTCTTAGATTTTTATTTCTTGGATAGGGTGAATTTTCATTTTAATTAGTACTGATAGTTAATATCAGAATTGGGAGGAAATGGGTTTCTATATAATACCATTGCTTGACATTGTATTGCTGTCTAATTTTAGCAAGTCTGAGGGCTAAAGTGACATCTCTTTGTTGGTTTGATTTGCATTTCTCTGATTACTAATGTATTTGAACATCTCTTCCTATTCTTACTATATATTTAGTGTTTTTTTCCCCTGCAAATTGCTACTTTTAATTCTGTGCTTTTCTTTTGGGGTCCTTGTTCCTTATTAAATGATAGATGTTCCTTAGATGTATTGGTGTCTTGTTGGTTTTGTACTTCTCAAATAACTTCTCTGTCTTTTAGCAGTACCTTCATCCATGATATTGTTCATTGAGCAGAAATACTTATTCCGTGTAACCAGCTTAAAGAGTTTTTTACCTGTGGTTTATAGTTTATAATTTTATTTACATTCTCCCCCACACTAAGGTCAAAAGATATTCTGATATATTCTTTTTTGTTAATTTTATAGTTTTACCTTTGTAGTAAAGTCTTTATCTAGAGCAGGACTGAGCAAACATTTTCTTGAAAGGCCAGATAATAACTTATTTTAAACATTGCAGGCTAGGTGGTCTCTGTTACAACTCTCCAGCTCTGCCATTAGGGCTTAAAAACAGCCATAGATACTGGTAAATGAATGGGCGTGGTTTCTTCCAATAAAACTTTATTTGCAAAGGCAGATGTTGGATATTCAGGTCATAATCTGCCTTCCGGTTTAGAGTCTGTCTTCCTTTTTGGAACTAGGTAGGATTTCAGGTGTTTTTTTTTTCCTTCCACATAGTAAGTCAATTTTTACCACACCCTAAAAAAAAAATCCATCCATTAATTCATCTTTTTTTGTATACTATGTTCTCAAGGTACATGGATCTGTCTCTGAACTCTGTTCTGATTTTTTTAGTCTATAGCTGTTTCAGCAAGGCCTCATTTTTTGTCTCTCCTGTTTTTGTACTATTTCTTAAAATCTGGTAGAGCTGGTGCCTCATTTTTTTTCTTTCTCAAAGTTCACATAACTATTTGTGGACCTTTATTCTTTCACATAAATTTTAGAATATGGCTACTGAATTCCTCAAAAGTATAACTGATTTTCGTGGGGATTTAATATAAGGTAGAGGTTAATTTATCCTGCTCCAGTACTCTTGCCTGGAAAATCCCATAGATGGAGGAGC